GTGCGTCCTGCCCGCGCTGCCCTGCGTCCCCAGCGTAGCTGCCGGTGGCTGTGAGCGGGTCGAGCACTGCTGGGCGGGCGGCGTGTCGGTCAACGCTCGCTCGCAACGCCTTGCGCCCCGCGCGGACAGTGGACCAGCGAGCCTGCGCCTTCCACAAAGAAACGGCCTGCCAATACCCCGCGCGCGGAGCCTGCCCTGTCGCGCGCGTGGGGTAGCGGCAGTACACGGCCAAAAACAAAAAAAAAACTTCAAATTCAAAAACAAAATCCGCACAACCGTCATTGTATTCAAAGCTGCTAGGGGCGTAGCCAGGGAAAAAAATGGGGGGGGGGCTCGGATAAAAGGCTGGAGCAAACGAGAGCGGTGGCCAGGCAGATGAGAGATACTGTCAGTCGGCACGTCGAGACAACATCAGCCGCGCCATCAACCACCACACGCCTAATCGGCGTCTAATGTCCCGGAAGCCACTCATTTGTTTGTTGAACCCGGCCTGGTGGGGCGAGGGACGAGAAAAATGAAAAAAAAAAGAGACTTGTCAGATTAGTGGCGGGAAACGAGCAAGCGCGTTTACCTAAATTTGCTCATCTTCCGTTTTCCAAGACAGCAAAAGTTCCTCCTCTTCTCCTCCTCCTCCTTCTTCTCAGTCATTTTACAAGCAGTGCATTTCGGGCTGCGCGGCGGCAGTTTGTCGGGGGAAATAAAATGGCGCGACGAGAGTGCAAAGAGTTGCGGCGCGGCCGAGGGGCCCGGGTTGCGGGTTTGGTGACGAGCGTAATATTTTGTGGGAGTCGTCGACCCCTCCCTCCCCCCCTCCCACACCGCCCCGACTAAAACTGTCCACACAAGGCAGTGACGCACAAATCTGCGCGAAACACTCTCTCTTTCTCTCTCACACACACACACTAACGCACACACACACACACGCACTACGGACAGTGGCTCGCAGAGTTACGTCGGTGCGTGTCGAGGCCGCACCGGACACACCGTACCTGTGGCCTTCCCTGCCAGTCTCGGCTCCACTTAACAAGCTTGTCGTGACGCGTTTCGTGCCCCGCCACTGGCCAGCCTGGGGGGCCGCCTTGAGGGGGGGCGGGGGAGGGGCGCCCACGCGAACCGGCAAGGGAATTGAATCAATGCTACGGCGACTACTTTTCGATAAGCGCACAGCCCGGCTGTGCATGTGTGCGTGTGTGTATGTAAACGACATGCCCGGCGCGGGTCACATTTACGCCAAGGGCGCGTGTGTGTGTGTGTGTGTGTGTGTGTGTGTGTGTGTGTCGCCCTGTGGGCAACTCGTTATTGGGCGTGCGTAACCAAGCGCGCGGCCCATTGGGTGTATGTGAGTCCGTGTGTGTTTGTGTGAGTGAGCATGGCCTGATGAATTTCGACGAATGGAAAATTGGACATGTGGCCGCGGAAGGGTTCTGACTGGGGCACTGTGCGGTTCGAGCAGTGTGCCGGGGCCGCGTGTGGGGCGGCGCCGGCGAAGGTGAGGCCAGGGCAACGGCAGGGACAAGCTGGGCGGTGCACTCCTTCGGCAAGCCAGCTGGAAAAGTTGGGCCCGTATTTCATCCGACTCGACGCCCGGCCCGGCCCAGCCCGGCCATTGGGAGATAAATATCTCGGTGGGAATATCATTGCGACACCATCTGCTGGCGTGCATCTGCGTACATCACCATTTGGCGCGGGGCGGCGGGGCGCGTCAGCGACTTTCCAGACACTTCCAAAACGCTTGCCCGTTTTCGGTGGCGTGCGAGAGAGAGATAGGGCGAGCCCCTTCCTTGCGCCGCGCCAGCAACGTCCAGGGTAACCGCGCGCCGTCACGGCACTGCCAGGACGCGGAGCGGTGCGTCGGCGGCCTCGGCCTCCGTTTCGACCGGTCGCTCCAAGGCGATGCCAGTCACACCGGCTGACGCGTCCACTCTAAAACCCGCCACTGGTAAGCGCAGCGAGAAACGCGGACGACCACTATATTTCCCGACCGGCCGGAGCCCCGGCCTCGCCCCGGCTTTTCCTCGTAGCCCCACTTGGCCCCGGCAACTTATGTGTGTGCACTACACGCCGCTCTCCGTTAATAATAGACGGCCCCCATAAAGGCGGGGCGGGGTGGGGCGGGGCGGGGCGGGGCGGGGCGGGGTCGGGCGAGGCGCGTAAGTGGTCACTTTGTAGCCCCCAGCGCCGTATCAGGGCCTGGAGCCGGAAGAAGGGCGATCAACGCTAAAGGGTTCGGCGAGGGAAAAACGAAAACGTAAACATTCCGGCAGGTACACTGTTTCCCGTTTATCCGCGTTTGCCTGTCACTCACGGCATGGTTGAACTTAAAAACAAACGTGTCTTAAGCAACGAAACGAGGACCTGTTGGCATTTTGGAAGTCCTGCTGGGAGGTTTTCCTCTCCCTTTGGCGCAGACTCGAGTCAAAGATCTTTGCACAGTGTACCGGTTCGCTCCGTGACGCGGGCGACGCGGCCCGATCCAGGTGACCCCGCGGCCCCACTGCTCAAAGAAAACGCGGGCGGGCCGGAGCAGACCGAGGAGAGGAGGCAGGCGCGAGCGGAGAGGGATGTATATTAAATTCAGAACAGAAAGGCCCTCCGGGGGATAATAATTTTGAGACAAAAGACGGCTCTCATCTCGGGGACCCCCCCGAAAATGCGGGTGGCTATCCAATTGTGTCTCTTTTTGTCTGTTTGTCTCTGTGTGTGTCTGCGCGACACGCGGGCGCAAGCAGCACGCGGCTCGGCGCGGCTCGGCGCGGCTCGGCGCGGCTCGGCGCCCCTACAAATGTCCTGTCACGCCGGCAGAGGGACTACTCCGTCTCCGCCGTACTACTCGGCGCCGCCGCACCGCTCCGCGAGGCGCGAGGCGGCGGGGGACGGCACAGCATTAGGGGTCCCGCAGCAGCTGGGGATATCTTTTACTCCGACACGGCGACGCAAAAATGACTCAAGCCTCTTATTTCTGGCACCCAATTAGTGGCAAAAGGAAACTCCGAACGAGGGAAAAGGACGAGGATTGGATGATTCGAACCGCAATCGCGGTTTTCCATTCGTCTCTTTCCGTGTACTCGCACATGCATATTCGACCCGCTCCGCGTCGTCGCCGCGTCGTCGTCGCGACGGGCAGGGACGTGACGACCGCCAATATCTGATGAAAGGCCGGAAAGGGGAGAAAAAGGACGAAAAGTGGAGCAAAGAAAAGGGGGAAGACCTCCCCGGCCCTCGCCCGGGGAGGGAGGATGATCATCGGGTGGCGGTGAAATCGGCGAGTAAGTCGCCACGCCACTACGCGCCGCCCCGCCCCGCCCCGCCACGCCCGTCATCGCGGGGACTCACCGAAAATACTAACGCCGCGAATACATTTTTCTGGGCCAAGTAAATCGCCCTGAAAGATCGCCATGATTTCCATCGGACGGTTGCGGGGAATTCTTGATGAGGCGGGGGTGGGGAACGGCGCGGGGAAGCCCCTGCCAACGAGCGTATCGGCAGCGGCGCGGCGCGGCCGTCGCGCGGCTTGCCTACCCCCGACTCCGCAGGCGCTCGCCTCGCCACGGACCGCGCGGTATAACTGGTCACCGCAGACCGATTCCGAGAGTCGTTTACGTCACTCTGTCTGTCTCTCTCGCACGTATACGGGACACCCCATGAGTGCGAGAGAGACAGAACGACTCTCGCGGAATCAGTCTGCCGGTGATGCAAGGCGAGATCCCAGTGAATTTCGGTGTTCAAACCCAATGGATTTCAGTCAAATTTTGATGAATTTCAGTCGAATTTCGATCAATTTCAGTCGAATTTCGACGAATTTGGCTGGAGTTATTTCCCCCTGCTGGACTCACCGGGCTGGACGGGCAGGCAGGTGCAGAGCAGGGCGACGAGCAGCGGCCGCACCGCGGCCACCATGGTCACCTGCAACAGACAGAGAGGGGTGATGCAGACTGCGGCGTGGCGGCGTGGCGGTGTCAACAGGCACGTCGGCGATGATTGGCCGAGCGGGCGGCGACGCGACACGGCCTCGGGGGCGGCGCTTAATCACACGCCGGTCCCCGAGGCAGCCGGGCCAACCGAGCCAACCCTTCCAAGGCGGCCGTGGCGGTCGTGGCGTCCCCGAGGACACAGCCTGGCGGTGGCAGCGGGGCCGCGCGGGGCGGCCGGGGCCAGCAAGGCGAGGCCGGCGAGGGCGGCGAGGGCGTGCAGCAGACATGGTAAAGCCATCCGGGCCGGCAGAGATGACACCGGGGTACAAGGTGCCTTCTGGGGTGGAAGAGGGGGGGGGGGCTATCGTGTCGCAGGGATCCGCCACCGCCTTGCCCCGTGCGGTTCCAGCGGCACTTCAAAGGGGCGGAGTGGCAGCGCGGTGGCAGCACTGTAGGGGAGTGGTTCGGTAACTCCTTAACAGCCATGTGCGCTTCCGGGACAGGAACGGACCAGTCACAAATCAAGGCTTGCCCCATACAATCGCTAGAGTTGCACAGACCCTCGCTCGGGCACCCAAAGACAGCCCAAAACACGACTACATGCGGTCCTCCTATCGAAAGCGCTCAAATTCTGGGTTCGCTTAGAACTCGCTCATCTTGGGGAGCGTCAGAAAACCCGCTCAGCTTGGCGGCCGTCCGGAGAAACCGCTCATCTCGCAGCGCGCTCGGAGAAACCGCTCACCTCCGCGCGGCCGGGCGCTGGTTAGGTTATGTTGCCGCTCGTATTTAGTTAATACTGCCAATCCAGTCAACATTGAAGCTAACCTTAGATGTAAAACAAAGTTCTGATCTGACGAGAGCATGTGATTAATCATTTCGACCCAAATAAAGGTCAGTGCATATGAAGTACATTTGTAAATCTGGCAGCCGCCGCCCGTATTTGGGAAGGTGAGCGGTTTCTCCGAGCGCGCTGCGAGATGAGCGGTTTCTCCGGACGGCCGCCAAGCTGAGCGGGTTCTTCTGACGCTCCCCAAGATGAGCGAGTTCTAAGCGACCCCAGAAATTTGAGCGCTTTTCGATAGGAGGTACCGAATGTTGAAACAGCAGAGTTGACCTTCCTCACATCTTTTGAGTCATCAAGCCACCGACTCTCACTTGCAGTCAGATCCAGTCGAGTAGTCTTTAAGTCACCTGCCATGCCACGGGAGCGCGGTGGGTGGCAGTGTGGTGGCACTGTGCTGCTTTGTCATTACGCCACACACCCCGCCTGATGCTCGCACCATGTTTACTTTATCAAGCTCTCTCTGTCTCTCCCTCTCTCTCTCTCTCTCTCTCTCTCTCTCTCTCTCTCTCTCTCTCTCTCTCTCCGCGACACCACGGGGGATCGCGCGCTTGGCCGCGGGGGACGACGGCCCACCTGCTGCATCCTGGCGCTGCCGCTGCAGACTGATTTCGTCGCTCTGTCTCTCTCGCACCTACACGGCACGCCCCATGAGTGCGAGAGAGACAGAGCAACGAAAACGACTCCCGAAATGAGAGCTCCCCGAGGAGTAGAACCGCCACCGCGACGAATCAACACATTCCTTTTGGCATGACGTCTATGTTTGCGGAGTCCGCGCCGCGGCCGGTCCAGCACACTGAGAGTCGTTTACGTGGCTCTGTCTCTCTCGCACTCACAGAGCGCCCAGCGTGGGTGGGAGAGAGACGGAGAGGCGACAATCGGTCCCGCCAAGCCCTCTCGCATCACCACCACCATTTAATCAAGGAATCGATCTGGCGGCGCAGACAAGGCCGGCGGCAACCTACACTGCCGCTTTCTGATTTAAATACGACAGAGATGAAGGACGCGCGGGACGAGGACACGGGGACAGAGAGGGCGACAGAGGGAGAGAGAGAGCGGGGAGGGCCGTGAGTGGGTTGCGTATTTGCTCAGTGCTCGCCGGGCCCGGCTGGGGCGGCTGGGCGAGCCAAACATCCGGCTGATTGGAATCCCAGAAATGTCCTGGCGGCGCTGCCTCAACTGCTGCCAAAAAAAAGAGAAAAAGAAGAAAAAAAAAGGGAGAACTGCACCGCCAATCCGTCGCCAGGGTTCCTCTCAGGATGCGGAGCGCGGCGCCGTGGCCGGGCCGATGGCCGGGCCGAGTCTCAACGACGTGTCCGCCACGTGTCGGCCGCATCTCTCCAGCGGAGACCGCCGGGCTGTCGTTTGGCAGTGTCTTTAACGCATCTGTGATCCGTTTACAATCTCTCCTCTCTCTCTCTCTTTCTCTCTCTCTCTCTCTCCCCTTCTCTTCCCTCTCTCTCCCTCTCTCTCTCCTCTCTCCCCTCTCTCGCCCCTCTCTCTCCCCCTCCCTCTCTGAATCCGTCATCCGGCAGCGTGCCTCGCGAGCCCCCCATCAGCAGAGTGCTTGTCGTGTCGCGCCAAAAAATATTTCTTCCCACTCTCTAAATCCCACCCCAAGACACCACAGCGCTGCGGCTTTCTCGCCCAATCACGTTTTTAACCCCTTTTTCGCTGGGGCCCCCGGGCCAGCCACAGTTTTAATTGCGATGCTATCTCTCCCTTTCTCTCTCTCTCTCTCTCTCTCTCTCTCTCTCTCTCTCTCTTTCTTCCCCTCTCTTCTCTCTCTCTCTCTCTCTCTCTCTCTCTCATACACACAGCTACACACACGCGCGCGTTTTCCTGCAGCGTGGGGGAAAAAATTTAAATTTCAATGTGGCCACGGCCACCAAAAAGCAGGGGAGCTCTGCTGAAAGTTTTTGCGCTTCGGTACCGCGACACTGTCGCGCTTCGGCTGCCGCGACACTGTCGCGCTTCGGCTGCCGCGACACTGTCGCGCTTCCCCTGCCGCGACACTGTCGCGCTTCGGCTCCCGCGACACTGCCCCTTTCCCCTGCCGCGACACTGTCGCGCTTCCCCTGCCGCGACACTGTCGCGCTTCCCTGCCGCGACACTGTCGCGCTTCCCCTGCCGCGACACTGCCCGCGCTTCGGCTGCCGCGACACTGTCGCGCTTCCCCTGCCGCGACACTGTCGCGCTTCCCCCCAACCGCGACCCCCCTGTCGCGCTTCCCCAGCCGCCCACTGTCGCCCCTTCCCCCCCCCTTCCCCCCCGACACTGTCGCGCTTCCCCTGCCGCGACACTGTCGCCCCTTCGGCTGCCGCGACACTGTCGCGTTTCCCCTGCCGCGACACTGTCCGCCCCAGCCGCACACTGTCGCGTTTCCCCCTGCCGCGACACTGTCGCGTTTCCCCTGCCGCGACACTGTCGCGTTTCCCCCCTGCCGCGACACTGTCGCGCTTCCCCTGCCGCGACACTGTCGCGCTTCCCCTGCCGCGACACTGTCGCGTTTCCCCCGGCCGCGACCCCTGTCGCGCTTCCCCTGCCGCGACACTGTCGCGCTTCGGCTGCCGCGACACTGTCGCGTTTCCCCCTGCCGCGACACTGTCGCGCTTCCCCAGCCGCGACACTGTCGCGTTTCCCCCCGCCGCGACACTGTCGCGTTTTCCCCTGCCGCGACACTGTCGCGCTTCCCCTGCCGCGACACTGTCGCGCTTCGGCTGCCGCGACACTGTCGCGCTTCCCCTGCCGCGACACTGTCGCGCTTCCCCACCGCGACACTGTCGCGTTTCCCCCTGCCGCGACACTGTCGCGCTTCCCCTGCCGCGACACTGTCGCGCTTCCCTGCCGCGACACTGTCGCGCTTCCCCTGCCGCGACACTGTCGCGCTTCCCCTGCCGCGACACTGTCGCGCTTCCCCTGCCGCGACGCCATCGCGCTTTTCGTTTTCGCAAATTTTGTTTTCGCGTTTCTGTTTTCGCGTTTTTGTTTTCGTTTTCACCAACCCTACCAACCCTACCACCACCACGCGCGCGCCCTTGCGCTGTGTATAGTGTAGCCCGCACGGCCCGCCATGAAGCGCTCCGCGAATGCTCCACACGACACACTATTCACACGGAGCACGGCCGGGCCGAGCCGGGCCGAGCCGGGCGTGGCGCTATTGGGTTTCACACTCACATCTCGACCCTCTTTCCCGTCGTCCTCCTCGACAAATGGAGCCGTAGCCCCGAAGCCTCGGCGGCGCGGCCCTCCGGACGGCCGGGACGCTCAAATCACGGGCCGCTTCAACAGACTGTTTACGGCCCAATAAATACCCCTCTCCCGCGCACCGGGGGAAAAGGGGGGGGGCTGATCGACCAGCGTCTTAATTTATCGTGTGCCGGCCGTCCTGGCCGTCCCGGCTGCCAGCTGTCACGACGTGGAATTTCATTGTTTTCATTAATTGAGCAAGCGTGTCGCGCCGACGGCGTCCTCCTCGACGCTGCACTGCGCGGGAATCTCCGGCAGCATTCCTCCGGGAAAAGGGGAGGCGGCGCGAGCACGCTGCTGTCTGCGAGACAAGTCCCGAATAATGAGAGGGGGGGGGTCACGTCCGTGGAGGCTTGCCGCTCGCGTCGTCGCCGTGTTCGGGCGCCGCGTTCGTTAGAGAGGCACATCTCTTTTAACCTCTCTATTCACGAGGACGCGCGCCGCGGCCGCCGCGCCGTCAACTGGAGCCGAGACACACGCCGCGCCGTCCGTGTGTTTCGCGCGTCAATTCATTCCACGCGCTCGTCGCCGCGTCTCCCTCGCACCACTGGACGCTCCGCGGGCTCCGCGGGGGTGCGAGAGAGACGCGGCGAGGCCGGGCCGCGGGAAATGGTCGCGCGATGCGAGTCAATGCGAGGTTAAAAGCCATTAGGAGCCGCCCGCTGTCTGGCCGCGGAGCCGCCGCGCGCCGCTATTGCCTAACTTGGGCGACGCGACGACGGCGCACAGTGGGCCAGAAGACCGGTGGAGGCGGCCAAAACTCCAGACGCGTTTTGAGCTCCAGAGTCGCTGAACAGGAGTCGAACCGAACGTGTGACCCCACCAATGGATTCCTCGTTCGGAGAGCTATCCATTGGTGGGGTCACACGTTCGGTTCGAGTCCCATTTCGCGACTTCGGAGCTCAAAACGCGGCTAGAGTTTTGGCCGCCTTCGCCGGTCTTCTGGCCCACTGTGCGGCGGCATGGCGGTGATATTCGGCGCCGAAAGTTGGCGGGCCGCCTCGCCGCTGGCAAGCCTGGCAGGTGTCACACCTGCGCCGTCCTGCACTCCGCGGACAGATAGAACAAAGTGGCGCGCCGCCACACTGGAGTCGCCTGGAGTGGAGTGGGCGTGTTGGCGTGGGCCGCGGCGCGGAGGCGGCGGCACGGCACGGCGGTTCGCTTGACAGTTGTTGACTGTCGGCGGCTTGGATCGGTACGCTGGGGCTTTGGGTCACCGTGATGACGGTTGAAGTTGACGGTCGGCGGTGACGACTGGCGGCCAAGGTTGTTCGGAGGTCAGCGCGGTGGACTGCACCATCCGTCACGGTGACTGACGGCAGCCAAAATATTCGACATGGAGGCGCATCCATCGCGCGGAGACGACCGGCCGCGCAAACAAACTCGCTAATTGCCTTAATGAATTACGGCCCGGAATGACAGGTGATAATCGATCCTCCTTCCCCCCCGCGGGGGATTCTCGGGTGTCGTTTTCCACGCTCTGTCTCTCTCGCACTCATGGGGCGTCTCGAATAGGTGCGAGAGAGACAGAGCGACGAAAACGACTCTCGGAATCAGTCTGCTGGCGCCGCCCGGCGAGGCGCGGCGCGGCGAGGTTTGATGTCCCGGCGAAAACAAGGCGGGGGACTCTCGGAAATATGAAGGCGCAGCCGGCAGCGCCGTGGGAGGGGAGGGGAGGGGAGGGGGAGGGGGAGGGGGACACCGAGATGAGAGCAACGAGATTGGCCGGATCGACTGATGACTCCTGGAGTCAGACTCCATGCAGTCCCGGGGCGCGGCGCGGCGTGACGGAGTGCTGGAGTCTCCAGCCATTTCTCCAGCGAGGCATCTCCTGGAGAAGGCGCCACGCCTGCCTAAAACTGCCCCGGGTGTGTTTGCGCCCTGATTGCCGGATAATTGTGTGTGTCCAGGTTTGTACCTGTGGTGGCGGCTTCCGAGTCGGCTTCCGACCCGCGGCCGACCCGGCGCGACCTCGGGCCGTAGGGCGCCGCAGGGTCGGAGGACCGAGCTGGCTCAGCGCGACCCTAATCAGGGTAGGGTCGCCGGGGCCACAGGCCGGGGCCATCGCCATTCACTCAATGAGCGCCGCCAAATTGTGCCGGCGAGGG